ATACATAGGCTTCTAGATTAATGGCCTTGGAAAAAGACCTCAAGCTCTACTCTTCAGTGGGTGGTGATTATTGTTCAGCATGAAGAAGAAACAGCACTCTTGGGGCCCATTGCCACCATTAATGCCCACAATGTTTGTGGGAAAATTCATACCTAATAAACAATTTAGGACAGTAAAATTTGCTAAGCCTATGAGTAATCTTTCAGAAAGATTGTCTTCACTCAACTATCTAAAATACATTTAAAAACATTTATTTATGTCACTAAGTATTTCTATTTAGGTATGAGACACCATGTGATATCTTGGCACATTTTGCATTATATAACTTTGAAGTCAGTTTAAACACATTTGCTCCTTCAAACATTTAACATTCTTTTTGCTGTTACATTTCCTGATTTCTCTTGAAATATTTCAAATTTATTCAGTGAAGTTTGTAAAGTTATGGTGCATGATTTTTTCTAATGAATCATTTTATGTCCACTCATTGGAAACACAAATATATAATTATTTTCCCAGTTTGACTTACAGCTTTTAAACAGTTAGTTGGATATATAATATGCAAATCACCACTTTTAATCTGACTCTCATTCTAGCAAAAGTCCTGAAAGAGACTTTAGGTTCTATAAACATGGTTGCCATGTTTCAACTTCACTACCCAGTGACTTGATAACAGACTCTAAAAGCAAAAGTAAAACTAACTTCTTATACACATCAAATGAGCCATATTATATGTGCAAAAAGTCAACATACTACATATAAACATTATCAGATAAAGTACATTGAAGAACATTCATCATTTCTGTTACAGGTACCAATAAATCCCTTTGACAGAATTTCAGCTAAACAGTGAAATTCTTTCTATATCATCCCTAATGTGTAATATACCAGAGCTCATTTGTAGCTGACTACAACATATCTCAATATCCTCTTGACTCTCCCCACCAGCATCCTACTACTGTCTACTTCCTTTTTTTTCTTATGCAATGGCCAACTTTATTCAGTGCATCAGACAATTTATCTTCTGGGGTTTAAGAAAAGTCACATGAGTTATTTTCTCTTGAGTTCAATCTATAAACAATCATAAGGACAAGTTTCATGTGGTGATAAACAAATAACAAGAACCAACTGTAAAGAATAATCTGAAGTAAACTCATTCACTCCTATCTCTGCACTTGAGAGGGTCACCAAACCACATACCAAGAACAATTCCATGAGTTTTGCTTTTGTTTTTTTTAAGAAAGGCAGTCATAAAACACTTGTCATGTTTTCTTGGACTTTTCTCAGTAGTGTAGAGGAATTCTAATCCAGCAACCTGGCTTTTCTGTCAAAGGATCACATTCAAAGGCCTAAGTCTTTGTGACCTAGCTGTCATGCAGCCAAGACGTTAGTATATGCCATAAAGGTAAAATTAGTTTCTAGAAAGAAATAGCTCCTTATTATTCTCAAGCTTCAACCACCTCTGCTGACCTGAACTGAACTACATGAACTCATGAACAATCTCACCTACACGGCACTATACTCACTGCCCACTTCCTAACACCCAAGAAAATGTGGAGTTTTCTAGTTATTATTTAGTTAATACCAAGAATGATTATGTGGTAATCAGAGAACATATTATGTGGAGCATATAGTAAAAGTCATTGAAAATTACTTTATGGCTTAGCTTGTAATCATGTGTGCGGATGTTCTGTGAATGAACAGGAAAAAGTATTAAAATAGGCTCTGCACTGTCTCCTCCTGTGCCTACCTGTGTTCAGGTTGGTCAGTACCATTGCTTGCATATAATCCCAACTAATAGTCTATTTTCTTTGTTATGCCAGTTGCTGTGTAGAACTCTTAAAACTAACTGTTCTAAAGGTGTATTTGGGGGTTGGTGAGATTGTTCAGCAGTTCAGAGCACGTGCTGTTTTTACGAAGGATGTTGACTTTGATTCCCAGCACTCACTTGACAGCTCACAACCATCAGTAACTCCAGTTCTAGGGCATCTGTCAGGCTCTCCCTGCCTCTTCAGGCAGTGCATTCACATGATGGCCATGCATACATGCAATCAAACTCTCATTCATAAATAAAATAATAAAATAAAATAAACCTTAGACTGATGTTTTTTATATTACATCTTGGTACTGTCAGTGACTATCTGATTAGAAATCAAGATAATATTACCTAATGTGTACACATTTAGAATGGTTGTGTGTTCTCAGTAAATGTACACGGTCATCATTGGGAACTTGCGCTGTCCATTTCTATTGCTTCTCACCTTTCAAAGTGTACAGTTCCCAGAGGACAAGATGGCTGAGCCATCATCCTACATGTGTTTGTGTCACTACAACATCTTCACATTTATATTCATCCTTTCTGAGTCTTCCTGAAACTTGCATCTTTTAAGGAAAGCATGCAGTATTAAAATCATTACTGTCTCATACACCATTGGGTTTAGCTTTACTTTTCAAAGTTAAGCTGGAGAACATATTATTAATATGCTGGGACACAAATCCTCAATTATTTTGTTGTTGTTTCTATGTGTTTTGCCTCACCTAAGCTTCTTTTTAGTCTTTCTTATTTCATTTGTGGTATAAACCAATTGGCCATTTTAGTAACCAATCTTTTATTAATTTGGAGGATGTGCATTTTTTATTCTTTTATTAGTTATCTCAAATTTTCCACTTTTCTTCATTTGCTTAACTAGATTTTGTTTTTAGAGGAGTTGTGGATCCATAGCAACATTGAGCACAATGTGAAAGGGCTTTCTTATGTCCCTGGACCCCTACTATAGAGTAGTGCATTTTATAGTCAATAAACCTATATTGGGACCACATTGTCATCTAAAGTACAGTTCCTCTAGGTTTCCCTTGTTCATTTGCCTTCTCTGCTTTTCTGTGATTCTAAACCACGCCTCCTTTCTTCCTCCTCTTCTTCCTTTTCATTTTTTGTTGTCCATCTTGGAGATTGCACTCAGAACTTTGTGCAAGCTAAGCAAGCATTCTCCCGCCAAGCTTGGAACCTGCTTTCCCTGATCATTTTCCTCTTTGTTTTCTCTTTAAATTATATTTGTATTAATGTGGTGAAAATTTCATGCAATGTATTTTGATTGTATGTATCATCTCTCCCAACTCCTCCCAGCTTCACCTTCCCTACCTTTCCTTCCCTCCTAACCCAATTTCCAGGCATTGTCTTCTTCTCTTCTTTGCCATCTAGCCTATCCTGTGACTAGAAGTAGAGCCTGCCTTAGAGTGTGCTGACCTTCTAAGGGTCACACAATTAAAGGAAACTGACTCTCTTTCCTTTGTGTTTGTCTAAATGCTTACTCCCTCATTAATGCCTACAAAGAAAAGTTTCCTATGTTTTAGTACTTTCACAGATTGAGGACGTTTTCTGTTTTGTAAAAGCTTCTTGATGTATGCTTATCAAGACCACCATTATTAGCAATAGAAGAAGCTAGTATTGCTGTTTAATTATTTATACTTTAAACTATACACTTACTGTCTGTTTTGTCCCCCAAAGCCACAATTTTGTTCTCTCTGATTTTCAGTGTTTATTACCACCCCATTTAGGTCCTTGTGTTCTTAAAATACTTATAATTCTAATGTTAGTTCAAAAGGATCCATTCTCTTATCTTGAATTCTGCTTTCTAGAATGTCTCCCTCAAACTTTGTGCTATGCTGTCACACGTGTAAGCATTTCTTGAATTTTTTAAACCATTACTCTTGTGATTGGATTGCTAATCTATGTACTAAGAGGTGTAACTACTCTATTCTTTAGATGTGTGTACTTTCTTGTCTCTGATGGTTTCAGGTAAGTATAAAAGAAATGAACACATGAGATGGCAACATATCCAGGTTGAATTTGTTGCTTAGGCTGTTGGGTAAAGAACACAGATGACACAGGAACTGTCTTCATGATTTTTTTTGCTCGTGCCTTGGCTCTTTGTCAGTGGGAGCAATGCTATCTCAGGGATTTAATTTCTTTCTCTTTTCATTCCAAGGCTGGATTTAAAGTGTGCTTTATTCCTGCTCTGCTATCCTCCTTAGTCCTTCACTCGTCTACTACTGCAGCTACCCTTCTTCTCTTCCAAGACCTCTCAGGAGAAAGACATTCAGCCCACCTTCTCTGGAAGGTGTCCATGGATTTCTGTTTTACTTGTTCTTTATTAAACACTAGCACTGCAATCATCATCAACACTATTTTAATTTTACCAATTTTTCTTGTTTCTTTGACAAAATAATTGGTTAAGTGTCTTAAGGACACTTACAGTGTCTTTAAGTGTTTTAGCTTATAATTTTGAGATACAATCTATCATGGTAGGGTAGATATAGTAGTGGGAGAACTAGGTAACAAGTCACATGATATCTACAGTCAGGAAACAGAGAGAAAAAAATACAGTGTCCAAAGTTTTTTCTGCTCATTTCCTCTTTAGCTCAGCCTGGGCCAGCCAATGTTCATGTGGTTCTTCCCTCTTCCGATTCCATAGACACCATGGCAGTGAAGGTTAACCATTATATTAGTAGTTGTGAGAAATTTTTCAAGGAGACAGGTTCATTTGGCAAAAGCTATATAAATTTTGTGACAAATAGAAATGTCAGGGCAGGTTCAAAGGCATTCCATTATAATTCTGTTACATGGGAGCTGGAGGCATGAGGATCACAGCAAGTTTGAGACTAGCCTGAGATATATAATCTGTATCCTGGGTTACATAACTAGATACTTTCTGGGAAAGAAAAAGGAAAGAAGAAATGAAGAGAAAGACAGAAGATAGAAGAGAGGGAAGAAAGAAAAGCAGGATGGGAAGGATGGAGGAGGGGAAGGGTGGAGAGAAGGAAAGAATTGAGGAAGAAATAAAGGAAGGAAAGAGACAGACTAGAGAGAGGTAGGATCCTGTGTCCTCAACAGGGTTCCTGTGCTCTCTGTTATAGACTTCTCCATCGTGGTTGGCGTGCTTTTCCCCCTAGCAGTCATATTTGTGGTGGTTGCTATAGTGATCCAGCACCAAAATGCCAGAAGGAAGCAGAGGAGAGTTCAGAGGTAAGTCTTCATGTGCTTTGGGGACCCTCTGTCATCTACTTCATTTGACATCAGAGTCTATGACTTAATCCTTCAGATTTAATTTTATTTTATTTCAAATATTAAGAAAGCCATACATCATATTTTTTTTGGGGGGGTTCTTGTATTCTTAGTTGTTGTTGCTGTTGCTGTTGTGGTTTTGTTTTGCTTTGCTTTGCTTTGCTTTGTTTTGTTTTGCAGAGCAGAGACTAGGTGTCCCTTTTACCAGGCAATCTTTCCCAGCAAAATATGCATCCTTTTTGTAATTAATGATGAGAGTTGAGATTAGCTCTCATTGATAAATATTTTTGCATTTTATTATCAGAAGAGAACACATTTATTGATTGACATTTCTCTAGTAGACACTGTGCAGAGGATTCTCTATGAGTAAGCTGCAATATTCACACTTTCTGCATGAATGTAATTTCTGTGTCTCCTAAGGGTATGGAAATCACTTTCAGTGAGTGTGGGGGAAAGGGAAAGGTTAATAAAGCTCTTTGCTTTCATCCAAAGTGAGAAGCAGAGGCACACATCATTGATATGCAGATCCTTTCTCTTCCAAATACCATCTTAACACAACAAGATCTTTATTATATCACTTTCCAAGACTGACCTATTTTGGTGGAACTTATTCATACAAAATAACTCATAGGTAAATACTTGATGAATTAGGAATAATTAAATGTCATGATTTAGACAAAGGTTGACTTAACACAATCATTATTAGTGATCAGGATTCTGCCAAGAAACAAAAGAAAATGTCTAGTCATGGTTATGAATTGCAGGATAGTACTGGTACCTAACTTGTAACTAAAAGCTGAAGGATGATCTGAGAGCTGAAGGAACCCTGGTAGCAGAGCATAGCAGAGTGGACAAAGGAAGTTGTCCATCCTCTGTTGGATCTCCCTGGCATGCTGAAGGTAGTGTTCAGTTCACAGGATGTTTTCTCTTACAGGCTATCACCGACCAAGGATGCTAAGCTACACAAGCAGAAGTGTAGACCCCAAAAGGTGAAGGATGTTCAACCCCAGGAGGTGAATTCTAGTTTGGCCTGAGTCTGTCATTTCTACTTTTCTTACATTATGACCACATGTCTGTCAATTGTGCATAGCAGTGCCTAGAAATCAATCATACATCAAAAAATAGCAAGAATTGTGAGCTCTGTGCACCCACATTGACAATCTTCCCTAGTGTTTTGTTAACACAAAAGGAATCCTAGAATAAAAAAACCTTGTAGAAAGCGCTCATGAAATACAAAGAGAATAAAGGGGGAATTGTTACAGGTTCTCTCCCTCCCTCTCTCCCCTCTCCCTTCCCCTCTTCTCCTCTCTTTCATCTCTCTACCCCCTCTCTTTCTGTCCAGTTTGACTCTAAGTTTATTCTTACTCTCGGTAAATTTCTCTCTCTATAAAGTGATGCATATATTTGTATGTTCAACCATGCAATATGTAACATGTATGACACAGTCCTTGCCATGTCTGACATGTTTAGGGCTTTCAGCTGAAGTAGATTGATAGGACAGCATCGGTGGTGATGTTTGTAATGGAAGTTATCCCTGGTGTGCCTGGGGAAATCCTCCTATAAATGGTCTAGCTTTGCTACTAGGATCTTTCTTGTCTTACTTCTTTCAGGATGTTAAGCTGTATTTAGGCACTTAATGGTTTCATTGTAAAGTTTGATTTCTTCATTTTAGATGAGTCAGATGAAAAAGCTCCATGTGTCTGATCTGCCCACTGAAGAGCAGGAGCCTCCACTTGATGTCGTGAGTTAGCAACTTCTCTTCCATCCAGTCCAACCTCAAGGAAATGTTCCGAAAAGACTGCTCAATTACTGACTTGGAAGAGTGTTGAGATTTGTGTGCATATTAACATAAAACACAAACTCTTCCACAAGTCTTCTTTAAAATGCTAAATGTGGGAATATCCCTCTACAATTTTACCTCTGAACTTAACCATTAGATTAAGAACCTAGAGCTGGAAGTTGATAATATAGAATATTCATGTCTTGTTTGTTGTTTATGTTGTTGAGTTAAAACATTGTGAGCAGCATCAACTTGAAGAGGAAACGGTTGATTTCAGCTTATATCTTATAAGTCCATTACTGAGGGAAGCCAGGACAGGCATGGGAGCAGAAGCCAAGGAGGAGTATTGCTAACTGAATTGCTTTTCTTGGTTTACTTAGCCTAATTTCTTATACAACTTAGGACTACCTGCCCAGGCTGACCCCAACCATAGTGGGCTGGTCTCTCCCACATCCATCATAGATCAGGATGATATTCCACAGACCTGCCTTCATTTCAGTCCTGTAGAGGCATCTTCTTAATTGATATTTTCCCTTCCCAGATACATCTAGGTTTGTATTAAGTTTTCAAATACCAGCCAGTACAATTCACCCTGTATATTATACATTTTTTTTTGTCTAGGATGATGCAACAGAACAGCATATGTTATATAGATTAGACAACATTTATTTCTGCCCATTCTTGAGACTGGGAATTCTAAAATTGAGGAGCTGAGAGTTCCTGGTGTCTGATGAGGGCTGCTTCCTGGTTTTATAATTGAGGGAACAGGAGAAGGGGGGAAAAAAAGAAAGAATGGAAGGGGAGAAAGATTAGGAAAAAGAGAGATACAATCATCTCTTTGTATTTTTGCACTTAAGGACATGGATACAATTCTGAGAATTCTTTCCCCAAGGTGTGAATGCCCCACACATCACAGCAGGGCTTAGGTTTTTAACATGTGATTTGTGTAGATGCACAAAATAAAGCCCACTGTGGTCCTGTCTGGATTATAGGCTCAGAACTAACTGAAAAGGTCAAATTCATGGGTATAGAAATATTCTCCTGGGTGAGTTTATAATGTCTCTGTCCCTGAAAACTAGTTAACTATTTTCAGCATACATACATGTTTTTGAAGCAACTACTCCAAGCTGATTTTCCCTTTTTATCTCCTTACTAGCTAATCACAAAGCCAAACTTCCCACCACCACCAATTCCTGTTTCCTTGTAAGTATCAGATGCTCACTGGTGGATTTTCTGCCAGTTGGCTCTAATCCATAGTTTCTTTGTCAATGATCCCTAGGTTAACCTAAATTCATCATAGCGCATTTGTTCTGGGGAACCTAGAAAGACAAGACCTCCTTCTGTACTAATTTCCTGTGGCTACTGAATCTTTACTGAGAAAAAATATAGTTCTTTTATAATTGTTTTTATTAATCATTTTATTTATTTACATTTCAAATGATATTTCCCTTCCTGGTTAGCCCTCCACAAACTCCCCACGCTATCCCCCATTCCTACCCTTTGCCACTATGAGGGTGCTCCTCTACCCATTCACCCCCTCCCACCTCACCCCTCTAGCATCCCCCTATGCTGGGGCATCAAGCCTCCCTCTCTTCCCATTGATGTCAGATAAGGCCATCCTCTGGTACATATGTATCTGTCTGAAGGATATATATATATATATATATATATATATATATATACTCCCTCCATATATACTCTTTGGTTGATGTTTTAGTTCCTGGGAGCACTGGGTGGTCCAGTTAGTTGATATTGTTCTTCTTATGAGGTTGCAATCCCCCTCAGCTCCTTCAGTCCTTCTGCTAGCTCTTCCATTACAGTCCCTCACTCAGTCTGATGATTGGCTGTAAGTATCTGCATCTGTATTGGTCAGGTACAGCTATAAATGTTGAAGAATAATTAATATAACTATTATATATGGCAAATGTCTTCCAAAGAATTGTTTCTAGATGTTCTCTCTAGATGATATAAAAATCAGTTATTTATGAAATATTTTTAATTTTGAAACAGGCAGAATATGAAAAGCAGACACACAAAGGGAAGCTGGGATGAAAGTCAAGTCCTTGTTAATCTTAAGTAAATGGCAGAATCCATCTGCTCATGCGTAGTTCCTCATGCCTAGCTCTCTGTTGTATATAGAAAAGGAAGGGTCAAAGTTCCTTTTGTTAAGATGTCTCATAGTTGTAGTGAGCAAATAGGTGACACATGGCTGGTGTACCTAGCTCCTCAAATGTTATCTGTGCCAAAGTGTGTGATGCTAATGAGAAAACACTGTGGTGTCAACATGAATGGAGCTGGTGAGGCAGAAGTCCATTGACAGAGTATTTGGAGTGTGAACTGGCCCTGGAAAGTGGGTTAACGCTCAAGTGGAGAGGTGGGCAGTCATCCCACAAAGGAAGTAAGCTTGGCTAAGGTGGTAAAAACATGCCACTTCTCCTGACCAACTTATTTTCCATTTTCTCCTAGAAACACAAAAGCACTTCCTTTATGAGTTTTAGAGTCAGTCCACTTCCGCACCCACATAAGATATCTATAATGAAATTATTATTGTCTCTTTTTTTTCACCGTTATTGCCAAGGAGAAAAGCACCAACCATGTTACCTAAGGTGTTTACAGTGAGGCAGGGACTGGCATAAATGTCTTGACTCTGAGTTTTCTCCATAACCTAAATAAGGGAGACTGAAAAACATCTCTGCTACAAAGTCTTGGTGACCCCCAGTTCCTCATTTTTCTTAACAGTGCACAAAGATGGTAGGAATAAATACAGCGTCCCAGTCAACATCCCAACATCCATAACTCTTTCTGCACCTCATCCTCTGGGTAGACTACTTGCTATGGACTACTTCTCTATGTCCATAATTCCCCCCCCACCCCGCCCCTGTCCTTATTCTGCCAATTACCTGCACCAGCATTTGAGTTGCAGAGTGAGATTTTCAGCTCCCATCCTGACCTTCTGTTGCTTCTAATTCTCCATTGCTGATGTACTACATAGTTTATACACTAGAGAGTAGGGTTTCATGGAATTCTTTTAGATATTTTTTCCTATTAGGATCACCTTACATCTATTTATCTACTTAGCTATTTTTTTTCAGGATGCTTTGATCATCTGAGAGGTTTTTTTTTTTCTTTAAGGGAACCAAATGCAAAAGTCTGAAGCAACAGCTAAGCCAGGGTCGATGATTGGATGGTCAGAATTGAAGCTGCAATGTTTTGGATGGAAAAGAGATGTGCTTACTTCCTTATTACAAGCGCTCTTGACCCTCAGAGGTTAACACGTTCTGGTTTGTGCTGTACATTGAGGAGATTAAAATGTTTAAGAAAGATAAACTTTTGAAAATCTCCGTGCTGGTCTCCTTTCCATACTCCTAGGGAGATGGCTAAGGGAATGTATAAACTGTAAAACTCTAATTAGTTGATTTCCCCCTTTATTTTTACTGACTTTTTATTTGACTGACTGCTCAAATATCTTGAAGACTTTAATATCCTCATTTGGAGGGGATTGCTGTACCCTCTAATGAAAACAAAACAGAACAGAGAGGACAAAACGAAATCATAAGCCACTGGGGAAAAGTGCATTCACCGCTAAATAAGTAGCAGCATCTTGACTCTTTAAATTTGTCAACTTAGAACATCCAGTTAGTTTTTTTTTTTTAAATTATATGTGTAAGTACACTGTTCTGTGTCCTTGCTACCCTTTCTTCTGAAATCTTTATTCACTTTGTTATTTTGGGAATGTTCTACAATCCAGTAAAATGTGTTTATTAAAAAATTTAGTCACAGATATTTGTATGCCAACTACTAGCATAGTTAAAGTGAGCTTCCCTTTCTAAATAGAGAATGTTTCAGTTAAAGAAATGAACATAAACCAGAAGTTACAAACTGGAGACCTGTTGGCCGGGTTTGTATTGCAGATGTGTTTTATTTGGTCTAAATTAAGGATGTTGACCACACAGAGTTTATTTTTTTAAACTGTTTTTAGTTTCATAGAAATAAATTTTAAGTTATGAGATCTTGCATAAGCATCTAAATTTCTGGATTAAAAGAAAATTTTGATAGTCTATCAACAACATAACCACATTGTCTTTAACATCTTTAGCTTCATTGACATGTGGTAGAACCAACATGGTTGGTTGGGTACCAAATACCCGCTGCCTTGCTTTGAGAACTCTAATTTAGTCTAGCTGTCCAGTTTTAGAATGATGGGCACCACTCCATACATGTTATGGTAAACCACTCATAACAATTTTGTTTTGAGATTTGTAAGTAGATGGGTGACTCCCCGTTTTGTCCCTGTTGATGAGGGAGGAGGCATGTTGGGAAATTTCTGAGAAATATTTCTCCATTCATCTTTTTTTCTGGTTGTTGACATCTGGTACTGCTGCAGCTGTGCTGTGATCTGAAATGACGTGAATAAGATAGAGCAGGGAGATAAACAAAATTTAACTGCACTTCCTAAGATGTTATTGAACTGGTAGATTAACAATTGTTGAACTAGGTCCACCTTTTGCTGGGACTTCTTGTACAATCAATAAATTTTCCTTGTTGTACAAAACATGTCGAGTTGGGTTTTCTCTCACATGAAGCTGCATTCACTCTAATGAGTGAGGTAGTGTTACCAATGCCAAGGTGTGTGTTCCCCTATTATCGTGGTGGTATTCCCCTGTATTATATTTGTGTCATTGCATCCATTGCCAATACTCCTTGCCTCTGACTGTCTGCATTCTGTATCTCAAAGGAGGACTTCCAGACTCAGTAATTCTGGAGTCTACCTATCAACTCTCGTTGTTGGATTCTTTCCACCTTGGAGTTTCTTAAGTACAGAGCTACTTACATGTGGCTGAGTTTTGAGGTTAAGATTATAAACTTAGAACTCTTTCTTCTGACCTGGAAATACATTCCTATTTCAGATGAAGTCTTAATCTGCTTGTGAGTAACCTTTAAACCCCTGCTGGTTTTCTTTGCTTGCTTACTTGTTTCCTTGTGTTAATAACTCTCTGAGACACAATTTACAATGTCATTTTTGTTTTGTTTTGCTTATGAAACAACTACATTTATTTATTATGTATGTGTGTGCTGGTCAGAGAACAACTCTCAGGAGTTAGTTGTCTCCATCCTGCATGTGGGTTCTTTATCCACTGAGTCATTTCGCTGACCCTCATATCATGTAGAATATACATGCGGTGTGTGTGTGTGTGAGTGTGTGTGTGTGTGTTTACACACCCATGCATGCATGCATGTGGAGCTCAGTTGGCAATTTAGTGAAGTCGGTTCTTTCCATTCATCTTTATGTGGGTACCAGAGATTGAACTCAGGTCACCAGGCTTGCTCTGAAAGCAACTTTACCTTCTGAATCATCTTACCAGCCCTCACTTTATCATTTATAATGTTGAATAATTAAAAATCTTGAACCTAGAACTCTCAAGTAGCCATTTTTCATGCCTGGAGCTAGAAGTTAGTCATATATAAGACATACATATATACACAGAGTGGTGTTTGAACATACATACAATGGCTTAATAAATGATGTTACTTTGTTCTTGATCAACCTCATAGTTCAAAATTTCTTAATACATCTAAAGGCCACTAATAACATGCTCTGTGTGGGGGGCATGTATGCATGTATGTGTGTGTGTGTCTTTTTTCATTGTTCTCTTTTAAAAAAAAAGTAGCACAATCTGCATGAGATTGCCAACAGCCAGTTCCTTCATTTATCTTACACACTGTCTCTCACTGTTGTTTGTCTGAGTCCTTGATCAGTTTGGAGAACTTCAGTTTGTTTTCACAGTGCCTGATTTTTTGTTGTCAATCTTATTCCTTAATTCTAATTTGTTTCGTCAGTTCTAATTTTTTTTCAAAAACTGCTTTGTGCCAAAAGTAATGCAGTTTCACTTTTCATCCTTTTTGGCTAAGGTAAAGGGCAAATGCAGTGATGATCATATAGGCATTATCTTCCTGAAGTTCCTTGTGTTGAAGTCTGTGTTACTGGAGGGTCAGAGTCTGAGAAGGATTGTTAACAAACTTATTTTGAAGTGTGTTAATGCAGTAGAAATCTGAAATCTGGAAAACACAAATATAAAAATAATCATGACAGCACCCCCTCCCCATCAAAATGAAGCATAAAGAGATACTTGAAACATATACATCTAATTACTTTTTGTTTATTCTCCCTTAGGCTGACTGTACTTTTTTGATAATTTATACTT